ACAAACAAATCACTAAATCGATAGAAGGACCAGCGAATTGCGGTGAAGGTAGCCTAAAACCGTCTCCGGGGTCGAAAACATCTGTGTGCAAGCTTTCAGCCCAATCGGTGAATGGCGCGCGTTTCTATAACTCACATACCTTCCAAACAGACAATTTTTTGAGTTTTATATATATAGAGGTAAAATTAGTCATGGTAGTTTGCATTCAAATACAAACAGAAAATAGGAATCTTGTACACGGAAATAGTTAGAATATTTCGAACTTTACACAATCACAGATTTCAAGCTTAGATTCAGTCAATTTGTGACACAGCTTCTAAAATTGAATTTACAAAAAAAAATTAATTACCGGCGCCTATTTGGAATTTATGAGATCTAACAGCCAACTAAAATACAAATACTTAGAGATCCAAAGTTCAAGCATTCAAAGTCTGTTTAAACGATTGATAATCAGTTGACGCGTAATTGATCTCATATTATTAAACCCTCCCCCCAACCTTACCAACCTGTTCCACTTTATCTACTACATAAACCCCAGTCTCCAGCACTGACACATTCATCGCTCATCCCTACTAATGAGCCTCGGGAATGGTCAGCGTTTATATTCTACCTATCTAGGGGCAGGAAACAGGATCATACCTTCTATAGTGACTTTTAATATAACGCTGAGCGTCTGTCTGTCCGTGCGTGTCTATAGTCTCTCACAAAATTCACAGAGCGAGTTGCAGCGAACTTTTCAAGCTAATATGTTGCACACCGTGTACGCCGGCAGCGTCTAGATTCACACTGCATACTGACGAAGGGATCCGATGGATGGGTCCTTAGGAAATGGCACCTGGAGCGGGTCCACTCGGCTTTTGGCACGCAAAAATGGGCCGCCGAACTAGGCCGATCAACTTTTTGCAATGTCGGGCATTCGTTTGAAAATCCGTAATGCATATTTTATTCCAAAAAATGCTTTAGAGGTCTGTTTTCCTGTTAAAGCAGCGCTTAAAAAGAATATTGCGTAAATAGTCGATTAGTCAAGGTTTTACCCGATAAACTGAAAAGATTCTTGCACAGAGATGGAGCCCTTGTGGGGGTACAATGATGTTGGAATAAATCCAGTAATTCATTCAAATTCGCATTTGTTCTTTCAAGGGAAATTTTTTTCTCCCACAATCACCAATTTATAAGAAAAATATTTGAGAATGAGCAGTCATTCACAATTCATTTGTGATGTTCAGCACTGCGCAGTGAGTTTCAAAGTCATTAGTGTGCAATCACAAGGAAGGTAGAGATAAAAGAGCCAGTGCGAACCCCGGCGAAGCAGAGCTGCACACTGGCTGATGAGGTCCGTATACGTTTCTTGCACTGGCTATCCAGATGGCATTGCATTGCGTCTCTCGAGGCAACCTCGATCTCGGAATTATTTCGTAGTCTTGCTTAGAATCTAATAGACCGGTATGAGCATAATGATGTGTGATATAAGGTCAGCTTAAAAGTATTTATACTATGATCGCGACCTGATCTCGTAATCACAAGTGTCGGCCATGTTGCCTTAGGCACGGTCACGACGATGCCATAATGTGAAATGCGAAGTGTCCATGCTCCGGGCGATGCTTTGTTCTTGTGATTGACAGCTCGTAAAGTTTATTCACAATTATCAAAATTTTTGACATTTGAGCACTTCAAATTATCTTCAAAATTTCCAACATCAAAGTCACGACTTCAATCTAGCAAGATAGATCAACCAAGGAAAACAATTTGAAAAAATATCATGAAAATGGGAATTGCTTATCAAACAAAATAGGAAGACGAAATCCGCCTCTAAATGCGAGTATGCCAAATCCGGGTGCAAGCGCACCCAATCAGATTTGGCAGCCAAATCTGATTGGGTGCGCTTGCAGTTGAGAAAGAGGTGAAAATGCAATTTCTACCCACTGCCTGCGAAACGGTCTCGATAATGTGGCACCATATTGACAACGATGCGCACGCATCTTAGTTAGTGTAAGTGCATGTACCTTGGAAGGCATTCCATATGACAGATCAAATTCACCTTGATTTGTTGAAAGAGTTCTTTGTACTACTAATATCAGAGTCATTTGACCAATGCTGCATAATTTTGAAAATTATGAAACATTGCAATTCGTAGTAGCGTCTGCAGTCTAAGTCGTTTTTTAAGGGCCAGAACCCGTGTCATAGAGTTGATGTTTCGAAAATAATAGCGAGCGCCGCAATGCTTATTGCTGTCGACTTTCTGATATAAATCTTGCGAATTATCCAAAACTTTCGTAAATTTAACTTATATCTGATTAAAACGGAAAAAATCACTACATGCTTGCAAAAGCTTTTTTAATCTTTTGAAGCATTTTGTAAGTCAAAATCCTGCCAGAAATCTAAAAGTTCACTTGTGTATGTATAAAAACTTATGCTTAAACAACGTAATTCGGTGCAGCGGTATTAATACGTCGCGACAGCCCAAATGAAATCAATTTTTAAATAGTACTAAGTCGCTAGATTCTCAACATTTCAGTGATAATCTCAGTTTCTTTTAAAACTTTAGTCAAAAAAAGTTATAGCATTGCGACGGTTTTGAAAAAATAAATATGTCGCGACGGAAAAATTTCTCGTAATCCGTTTTTTTTTCTTGACACTAGGAGCTCAGTTGTAGACATTCTGTTATCTTCTTCTTCAATTATAGCCTACAGCGATGAGCTTTTCAATCACTGCCGCTCTTGTCAATCCGATACGTATATAGGCCCTTACATAGTCTTTTTGTAAACATAAAGGACATCTTCGAAGGTTGATGTACCATACTTCAGTTTCTTTCCTCTTACTGTACATTTTTATTTGCTCACACCCCTTTACCAGCGTCCAGGCCCTGCCCCAGTACCGTACTTAGGATAGCGTGCATGCTTGCATGGTTTTGTACTGGGTCACGAGCGGTAGGTTTCGAGCTAACATGCAAATCAATGCAAGATACCTTCCAGATACGATAGCGGGTCTTTTTTGGTGGCGAATATTATGTGTGCACCATTGCGCTGCCGCTCGGGCAATGTCTTAATGGGATCCGCAACTTGTTTCCACTTGCGACTCCATGATTTTTTTTATGGCCTTCAAGTTTACAAATAAGACAAAACTCGTGAAATTTTATATAGGCGGATTTATAAATCACTAGTGCATTTAGATTTCAGAAATTAAGTAGTAGTAGTAGTAGTAGTAGTAGTAGTAGTAGTAGTAGTAGTAGTAGTAGTAGTAGTAGTAGTAGTAGTAGTAGTAGTAGTAGTAGTAGTAGTAGTAGTAGTAGCAGTAGTAGTAGTAGTAGTAGTAGTAGTAGTAGTAGTAGTAGTAGTAGTAGTAGTAGCAAATTTAGATGCGAACCACTGATTATATCAGTAATTTCAGCGCGACTAAGCTCAAATGGTTAAAACGAGACGAAACTATTTTTTTGTTAGACATCCAAAAGCTTTGCTCTATCTTATTGAAACTCCACTAACTATTACATTGTTGAAGATTTTCGCTGCCAAAATTAGAAAGAACCAAATTGATCCAGTTGTTAGAGTTAGGACGGCACCTCTCCCTTTTTTTACAACTTTAGCTTTGCCAAAATTCCTTTGGCGAGTCTTTATAAATTCCAAGTAAGCGAATTGCAAGATCTAGCTGATCGAAATTGAATCAAGCGAAAATAAAATCCAGTTCAGATCGTTCTCGTAATTGGATGGTCTTTGAAATTTTTTTACCACTCCCGAGACTCCGCTTCTGCATTAACGATTATTTTACGTACATCGTGAGCTGATGCTTGAAAAGGGGTGGGGGGACCAATTTCGCCCCAATCTAAAACCGATACTTTCTTTGCTTTCCTTGCAGGGACCATCCACCGAGTTATTTTTCGTCCTCGCGTCAAGCGCAAAATTCTCTTTATTTGTAAATGGCATGCACACATGCACTGAAGCGAGGTCAAAAGGTGGCTTCTCTTTTGTTGGATCAAAAAAAATCCTTGGCACCAAACCCTTTGGGCTCTTGAGTTGCGTAATATCCATGAATATTTTTCTTCCGTAACTGATTAATAGCCTATCAGTTCACATGAGGGAACATCGCCTTGTCAAAAAAGAGGTTTGAAGAAGAAGGCTGTAAAGAATAGCCAAGGAACTGCTTGACAAATAGGATTAAGATAATGGAAAAAAGTTGATTGAAAAAAGTTATGACATTTCGAATTCAAAAATTCAAATTGAACAGAAGTAATGCAGCAGGCTGTTAGCGGACTCTCCCTAAAACCTAATTTCATTGTATGTTTATTATGTGCAGAACGACTATCAAAAAGTTGTGAGCGTTCAGATATGTGAGATTACCCGATTCTCAACGAATATAATTTGATTTGTTGCAAGGTGGCCGCAAGCGCATACTAACAGTGATTAAGAATATTTCAATTGTAAGGAAGAAGTATATTTACCAATGACCTAAGTAAGTGTTTGGAGGTTTTGTGGAGCGCTACAAAATACTCAACAAATCAGACATCCAAAGGTTGTAACTCTTTCCAGATAGCCGTACGATAGATATTAAACGCTGAGATTGGCATTACTGCAAGTCCGTTGATCTAAAGCTTGCTTCGAATGGCTGAGTTAAGTTCTGAACACTTCCTGTTTGTGGTACAGGTTTATAATATGGGTTGAGAAACACCATGAAATTTTAACGGGGTAATGTGTGATTTACTTGTAGGATGAGTATGCACTTATTTGAGAAACTCTCCCGCGCATATGGTAAAAATTTTTCATGAATGAAAACTTTTTGCTGAAAGCTCATTTCTGAAGAATAACAAAGCAAGACATTAGTGGATGGAAGACGGTGCAGCCGGGAGTTATATATTGTTCTCCCCTCTTTCAGTGACGCAGATCATAGGTCTGCCGAAACAGAAGTACAAGTGTCATGCAATCTTACAATTCCAGTTCATAAAATGTTCATTTCCAAAGTTGTTCTATTCTATAAACACATATTTTTGTACATTTATTGATGCAATTTGCTCAAACTTTCATAGTACCGGCAACGACCCACGATTCCATATTGCATTCGTTGGTTCGGCGAAGTATTTTGAAGAAGCCTGAACAAATAATGCAATTGCCTTATACCCGTTTAAGTGAACAACTTATAAACGTACCATCTTCGCCCCAGTCGTAGTTCCAAGAGTTTGCAACAAGCCAGTATTTGACACCATTTTCTACACCCCATCCAATAATTTTAACAGCATGAGCTCTATATTGTTTTCCAGTTTTATGCTGAAATATGGAATTTTAAGTTTCCTAAAGTCATATTGTAATCGTCTACGATTACAATATGACTTTAGACTATATATTTTATATCAAGAAGTAGTAAGCAATGATTGTGATTGTGTATAGTTTATACTAGGCTGATGCATTATTCTGCACAAAAATTTAAAATTATATTCCGTCATTCAGCTCCAATGTAATCTTCTGGTTTGATAAATTATAGAAGGAAAAAATCTCGCATTTTCTGAAACTGCTCGATCCGAAATTCCCTGAGGGCACACTTCATTGATATAAGGTGATTAACAGACATCCAAAAAGTTTTTTTTTGTTTTTTTGGTCCTAAAAATTGATGAAACATAAATAGAACTAATTTGTTTTTGGTCTTAGTTTTATGACATACTCTTTTTGACTAAGAGAAGTTGGTAGTGATTGGTTGTCTCTGCGAATTTTGTTTTTGGTCTTAGTTTTATGACATACTCTTTTTGACTAAGAGAAGTTGGTAGTGATTGGTTGTCTCTGCGAATACTAAAATTGGCTTACTGCTTTGTTTCATAACGATTTTCTAAATTGTACTATAAAATACTACTTTCGATATACATAATGATAAGCATGTTTCGAAATTGACAAGCTTGTTTAAGTTTTTTTGACATTTTTATTCTATTTTTTGGTGCAGGAATTATGCATCAACCTAGTAAATCAAAAAATTTGGGATCTAGTTATTTCCACAGCTGTTTCTATGGACTTTTGGCTTACAGATCCTCACAAGGGAAAGTTCCCGAGTCAGCTCGGCCAGCCCGGATGAGTCATCTATCACCGTAACGGGCTTGAAACGCTGATTTTAAATCTGCTTTCCTTTTCTGCGGAGCAACTTTCCGAGGGAAGTTATGAACGTTTAAATTTCTAAATTTGTCATGTTCAAAATGGCTTAAAATCAGTCGAATGCTGTAAAACAACACCTAATGTAATTTCATTATCTGTGTCTCGTCCTTGTAATCAATATACTTGATACAAAACTGATAAATCACTTTCATGTGTTATTGTACAGGTTTCGCCAATTTTAAGCCACTTAAAACATTACAAATCTAGACTTTTAAACGCTCATAACTTCTCTCGGAAAGTTGTTCCGCAGAAAAGAAAAGCAAATTTGGAATCAGCGTTTCAAGCTCGTTACGGTGATATATGACTCATCCGGGTTGGCCGAGCTGACTTGGGAACTCTGCCTCGTCAGTCTAGGCAAGTTTTACGAACTACTTTTCACATCCTGACTCAATTGTCAACTTTGAGCAAAATGTCAGCACTTAATTCACTCTAAAATCGGAATGTGCATGAACGGTTGTCACCCATAGCAAAAAACTCCACTTTGAATATCATAAAAATTGCAAATCTTGAATAATTGTTCAGGGGACCGTTCTTTGTTAAGACCCTTTACGTTTTCGCGTAATGAGTCGGTGAAAAAGTTTTGTCAGTCTTTTTGAACAAACCCGCGAATCTCGCACAGTAAAGAGTCAAACAAACACTTCAAGCGGTCACACAGAACTTCTTCCTCTTTTCAACGGCCAAGTTCTCAATGTAACTCACTAAGGGGTTGCTGAGATAATTGCTACAGATCACAACTCTTCATTTTCGGCACGATTTCCAAGTTTCGCTGATTCTCGAAGCTTTCACTCGAGGCTATCGAAGATGCTTTGATGGCTAGCTGGGACGACAAAACCTTTTGCAACTCAATGTAAATCTTGTAGCTTTCTAACGTGCCTTCTCCAGTCGCATCTCGTGAAACTCAAAGGAGCAAACAGCTGAAATGCCATATGCAACTTTTTTCTCTTTCTAACAGCTGTTTTCTTTGCAAGAAATTTGCAGACTATATTACCGTATTTCTCGTTACGACCGTAGTATTACCATCACTCTTCACTGTATTATGCTATGTTTCAAAAATTCCCTAGAAGAAAATCGCTAATTTTCTTCGCTAGGTTAATGGCAGTCATAGTTGAGTTGTAAATTTGATATCCTTGAGATTTTGTAGATATTATTGAAATTATATGTTCCGAGATCTTTTCAAAACCCATTACTTTTGCAAAAAATATCAAGTAAAGTTCTTAAAAGCAAGCTGAACAAATTGCAACAACAAATCGCATTAACAAGCAAAAGGTTTGCCCTATCTGTTGCTTACCACTGCTCCGCCAAAGACCTCAAATAAAAATTCCAAAAATTACTGGGACGTAAACCTGCCAAAAATGATGGGTTGCAATTTCAAGAAATCTATAAACTTCAACGCCGACATATATGCCGCTCGCCTAAATTGCTCATTTAAAAGTAATTTGTAGCCAGGGTCAAGCGTGTTGATGCGATCCGGGACCCTCATTTGCGCCTCCCCCCCCCCCCCTTAAAGGTACCCATCCGTACGACCCCCCCCCCCCCCCCCTTCCCCCTCCCCCCACCCTCCTCCATTTATCTCCCTTACCTTCCCTGCCCTCATTCCTCGCGGTAACCTGCATAAACTAATGTCGATCTCAAAAAACACCTGCGTGAAAACTTCAGTGAGGTTTCGGAAGCAGAATTTCTAGGCCAATGGGTGCGTCCAGCATCTGTAGCACACATACACATTTTCAATAATTTTTGAGAATCTGCAAGTTATTTTTGAATTTTCAGGCATACTTCAGACCAACAAATTCGACCCCCGTAGGCGACACAAATTTTTGCACGAAGAAAAAAAAAGACGTTCTTGAATTACAAAAGATGTTTTCGACTAAGAATCTTGCTTCCTACCCCTTCCACAGTTTTTCCCGCCAAAACAACCGCTTGAGCGCAGTCCAGAACGACGTCATGAGCACGGTAGTTTCAAAATTCGTAACTAAGGCCAGGAAAAGATTGAGAGGCTGCAAAGCACAGCTTCTGTAGTATAGCGCCCAGATATCCAGAGAAAAAGTTTAACCTCTTGAGGAGCAGTAAGCTCGAAAAAATTTAGATGCGACTATCGCAAATTTAGATGCGATCCTAAAAGGCAAAAACTGGGATTTTTGAGCTTAAAATTTTGTAACTTACCAGAGAAGTTATAAAACAGCCTGCAATTTTTATGAGGGAAGGTAGGAGGGTGGCCTCATATTACAGTAGAATTACAGCCAACAAGCTTCAATAGCTCCGAAGAAGTTTAGATGCGACCCAGATACGACCCCCTTTCCTGATTTTTTGCTACCATACATAAAATTATAAGAAAATCCACAGCTGACAAATTAACACCAAATTTTGCATTGATGTAGCGGAGCATCTCCAAAGTACAGATAAATCATATGGGCCCGTGAACATTACAAAAAGATTTAGAAATTTATGATGGTCACAGCTGGTAAAGATATTCGTTTTTGTCGAGTGTGTGAGACTTCAGGAGGGCTTCAGAAGCAAGATTTCTAGGGAAATCGGTACATTTAACATTTTTATCAAATCATACATCCTTCAAAAGTGTTTTGAGCTCTTGTAGATGTTTTTTTTTGAGAATTTCTACAGATTTTTTTATTCTGATTTACACTTTTTTATAGATTTATTGTAAAGAACATAACTAATGATCTGTTTTTAGATTCCCTTCTAAGCTTAGGCTATTTTAGCCTAACTGCCTTCTCTTACGACCCCCCCCCCCCACCTTAGGTACCTCTTTACGACCCCCCGTTGCGACAGTCGCATCACAAGCTTGACCCTGTTTGTAGCACAGCAAAAGTGAGCGACTAGAGTTTTTAGTCCTCATTACCAAACAGAAGAATACATACTATGTAGACTCCACCCTTAAAGAAGTAGAAGACTGGATAAACTTCATAACCGGATTGAACAGGTCCGTTAATCATATCTCCTTTTGTATTGCATCTTCATTTGCGTTGGACGCAATATGCGCTTGATGCTAAATGGTTTCTACGTTAAGTGGTATTGTTATACAGGGTGTAAAATGTATCGAAGTTTAATCTTTGATAACTTCCCTATATGGCAAGCTTTCGCGGATCTTTGAGCGTCATGCGGTAAAGCTGGGTCCAACTTAGATTTACAGTATACAGCGAATCACCAATTCCTCTTAGTTTACTGTAGGATTACGGTAGGAATTTTCGACTAATTTTAAGCTTACGATAAGCGAGAACTGCTTCTAAAATTCCAAAAAAATCGAAGGACGTCAAATTAAGGTTTTCGGGGGATGCTGAACCTAATTGCAATGTTTTGTGCACCGTACTCCTCATCATCCTAAGGTATGCGCACTGTAACGCTGAATTTCTGTCTTTAAGGTTCAACTGAACTTTTTGAAAATGACAACGCTGATTTAGTAAATCTTGGACAAAGAGCCAAAAATTCAGCTGTAAAGTACGCATACCGTAGGAAGATGAGGAGTACGGTAGCGGAAAACTTTGTAATTAGATTCAGCAATCCACGAAAACCTTAGTTTGACGTCTTTCAGGGTTTTTTTGAAAATTTTAGAAGCAGCTATCCAGAAGCTTAAAATTAATCGAAAATTTCTACCGTAATCCTACAGTAACTAGAGAAATTGGTGATTCGCTTTATACCGTAATCTAAGTTGAACCCAGCTCTACCATATAACGCTAAAGATCCGCGAAAGCTTTCCATGTAGGGAAGTATTAGAGTTCAAAAGTTCGATACATTTTTTGGGACGCCTAGTAGATCTGCACTAGAAAACTCCATAGTTCTTGTCCTTGTCGTACTTTGGTCTATAGCCGAATGCACAAACTTTGCGGCAAGCTCGGGTTTTCGCGTACCCTGCATTCGCCGTGATACGGCTGGCCAGCGTGCTTACGCAATGGATGGAATGGGGTATGATTTGCAGCAATCTTGGAAAGCGGTAAATTTGAAAGCCAAACATAAAGCTGTTTGTTTACCTTGGCTAGGTAGGGACCCTTCAGAAACAGGCTCCATCCTTCATTACAAATCCCAAGCCTCTAGCAAGCCCTCCTCCTTACATCTAAAAAAAGGTTTAAAGGAGGAATGTAAAAATCGCGTATTTCGTCGAAATTACACCCTCAGTGGTTGTATGACATACTGATCAAATCTGTTCACATTGGTTAATGGTGTTAATGTGCTGGATTTGGAAATTAGGTAGATCTGAGCTCAAGCTACGAAGGTGCTTGGATATTCGAATGAGCAGCTGAAGAACGCGCGACCACCATGTTCAACTCAATGGGATCCCTTAGGCGAAGTGAGCATATGCAACAGAATGTCATACAACCACTGAGGGTGGAATTTCGATGAAATACGCGATTTTTACATTTTGAGCGAAATTCATGAGGACGTGTTTTCGTAGGCTCGTAACTCGGCGAACTTTATAGACTGGAGCCTGAACATGCACCTTTTGATAGCACAGTTCCCAGTGATTTGACTTGAAAAGGCAAGCAGGCAAGTTTTCTGACAAATCGCGAAATGTGCAGGCAAATTTACGAACTTTTGTGACTCAGTTACAGTCACCTCACAATATCTCTACAAAAAGACCCTGTCTTCTTCAAAGACTACTATTTTCGTAAACAGCGTGTTCGAAAACCTCTTTGGGCAGTACTCTGCGTTGATACCACTGCTTATACCACTGCTT